GCATTCTTGCTCAAGTCTAATACACTCTGACTGTCACAATTAACTACATACACATCTTGCTTCAAATCCAAATCTTGGGAAAACCGTTTCATCCAAAACATTTCTTTTGCTGCTTCAGTTGCTATAATATACTCAGTTTCAGTTGTAGATAAGGCAACACACTTTTGGAGTTTTGACTGCCATGAGACAGCCCCTTGCAAAAGTAATCAAATATCCCGAAGTTGATTTGCTACTATTAAGATCACCAGTTATATATGCATCTGTAAAGCCCTCCAAAATTGATTTTGAATCTCTAAATTTCAAGCACATCTTAGAAGTACCTCTCAGGTATCTAAAGATCAATTTCACTACCTCCCAATGATCTTTACCAGGATTAACAAGAAACTTGCAGACTACCTCAACTACATGGGCAATATTTGGCAGTGTACAAAACATGGCATACATCAAACTCCCAACCGCAAAAGGAGTAAGGAATCTTTGCCATTCTTTCTTTATCTTCCTTCTTAGAAGGACAAGTTACCTTACTCAATTTGAAGTGACTACCAAGTGGTGTCCCAACTGGTTTAGCATTCTTCATGTTAAACATTTTCAACATTCTTTCTACATATTTCTCCTATGATAACCATAACTTTTTGGCTTCTCTATCATGACGAATATGCATCCCCAAAATTTGCTTTGCTGATCCAAGATCCTTCATGTTAAACGACTTGAATAGATCTACTTTCAAACTACGAATTAATTGAACATCATGTCCCACTATCAACATATCATCTACATATAGTAAAAGGATGATAAAGTTACCACCATAAAATTCTTTGACATAATTACAATGATCTGCATCTGTCCTGATATAACCATAACCCGCTATAAATGAATCAAACGTCTTCTACCATTGTCTTGGAGCCGTTTCAACCCATACAAACTCCTCTTCAACCTGCAAACTATATGCTCTTTTCCTCTTACTTCAAATCCCTCTAACTGAACCATGTAGCTTTCTTCCTCCAAATCACCATGGAGAAAGGTGGTCTTAACATCTAACTGCTCAAGCTCAAGATCCAAACTAACTACTAAACCTAAAACTACTCGAATAGAAGTTATTTTGACAATAGGAGAGAATATCTCATCAAAGTTAATCCCTTTTATTCTGATCGAAGCCTTTTACCACCAATTGAGTTTTATACTTTACTAGCTTTTCATCATCTTTTTTCAGCTCAAACACCCATTTATTTTTCAATGCCTTTTTACCTTTAGGAAGCTCTGCTAGCTCCTAAGTATTATTCTTCTGCAAAAAAATTCATCTTTTCCTGCATAGTCTTCGCCCAACTTTGTTTGTCCTTATGAGATTCTACCTTCTGAAAACATTCATGCTCCCCCTCATCAGTTACCAACACATAATCTGATACTGGATACCTGGTTAATGGACGATACTCCCTAGTAGATCTTATGATCTGAAGTTCTAATGTAGTAGACTACTCCCCTTGCTCAACATCCTCTAAATCATCCTCATCAATCCTTGCTGGCTCATCAGCATGATTGTCAACGTGTGTCTTTCTCCCTGGGTGACACTATCTGAAGGTAAAGAAACAAGTGTAAGGTCAGTGACACCTTCAATAACACGTCTTTGATTCCCAGATTTCTCAACATCTGCCAACTTCTGATTTCATGAAAAATCACATCTCTACTTCTGAATATATTTTTTTCTTTTCTGGATCCCATAATCTATAGCCAAATTCTGAATCTCCGTAGCCAACAAAAATGCAAGGACTAGTTTTATCATCTAGCTTCAATTATTGTTCGTTGGCCACATGTGCAAATGCTTTGTACCCAAAAACTTTCAAGTGAGAATAAGAAATATCTTTTCCTATCTACAATTTTTCTGGAATCTCAAAATCCAAAGGAGCTGATGTAGACCAATTGATTAGGTAGCACGTTGTTTGAACTGTTTTACCCCCAGAATGACTTAGGTAACCCAGCCATCCTTAACATACTTCTTACCTTTTCTACAATAGTACGGTTCATTCTCGATGCAACATTGTTGTGCTATGGGGTACCAGGAATTGTATTTTCATGTCTAATATCATGTTCTGAGTAGTAATCCTTAAACACTTTAGATGTATATTCCCCTCCATTGTCAGTTCGGAGATACTTCAAAAATTTTCCACTTTCTCATTCCACCATGTCATGAAACTCCTTGAAGTATTGAAAAACTTGATCTTTTGATCTAAAAAAAAAACACCCACAACTTTCGCGAAGCATCATCAATAAAAGTAAGAAAATACTTTTTACCACCTAAGGACTCCACCTCAATGGGACCACAAACATCAAAATAAATCAAGTCTAAAATATGAGATTTTCTACTAGAGGATTTCTAAAAGAAAACTCTATGTTGTTTACCAAATAGACAATAATCACAAGAATTTAATGTACCTTTGGTAAAAGAAATGAGAGACTTCTTTATCAAACTCTGTAATCCTTTCTCGCTCATGTGAGCTAACCGCTTGTGCTACAAGTATGGTGAAGAATCACTTTCAGCTGCATTCATCGCTTCACTACATACCTTTACTTGTGTCTTGTAAAGCTTGCAACAAATCTTTGCTCTAGCAAATACCATCGACCCTTTTGCTAGTTTCCATCTTCTATTGCCAAAATAACTGTCATACCCTGCTTCATCAAAGGCATGTATAGATAACAAATTTAGGCTCATGTTAGGAACAAGTCTCACATTCTTTAATGTCAAGCTGCATCCAATATCTGTCGATGTCGCCAATTCCCGCAATACCGACAAAACTGTCACTACCAATATTCACCCTGCCAAAGTTACCTGATTTGTATGAAGTGAAGAACTCCCGTCTTGGAGTAACATGGTAAGAAGCCGCCGAGTCAATAATCCATTCAATAAATGAATCTGTAACATGACAACACTGCTCATTTTCAGCGAAAAAACTGTTACCACTACTTCTTCATCTGAAGTGCTAGCTGCTGTATTCTGATTGGTCTTCTTCTAATTTTTCTTCTCTTTCAAGTTATTTTTCCAAGCCATGCAATGTTTCTTTATATGACCATCTTTGTCACAATAAAAACATTTGACATTTCCTCTTGTCTTTGACTGACTTCTGAAATTACCACGTCCCTTATGATTAGTTCTCTCTGTTCTCTGTAATAAGAGCATATGCATCATTCCTACCCAAGTCTTTTCTTCGTATTTCTTCATTAAATAAACTGTTTTTACTAGAGTAAGTTCAAGCACACTATTCGGAGTAGAGTTACTAAGTGATACCACCAAAGTCTCCCAACTATCAGGCAATGAACTTAAAAGTAATAGTGCTTCATCTCATCACCTAGCACTATTTTCATTGTGGTCAACTAATTTACCAAGTCTTGGAATTCATTTAAATGTTCAACAACTGATTTTCCTTCCTTTAGCTTCAAATTCACAAACTTTCTAATAGCAAAAGCTTTATTTTGAGTAGTCTTCCTCTCATAGAGACTCTCCAATTTTTCCCAAATGCTATGAGTATCCGTCTCTTGAAATATATGATGGAATACATTAAGGTCAACCTACTGTCTAATATATCCAATGGTTTTTCTGTTCATCTTCTTCCAATCACTATCACTTATATTGTTTGGATTAGCACCATTACTTTCAATAGGTTCATGTAAATCCTTACAATAAAGGATATCCTCCATCATAGTCTTCCTAATGGAATAATTTGAAGCCGACAATTTAATCATAATACCGACGTATTCTCCATTTATTCCGCAATAAAACCACACATACACAACTTGGGCTCTGATACTACTTTGTTGGGCAATTTCAATTAATGCAAGAATAAATTTACCAATTCAAGCAATTAACTAGAACTATTAACTATGTAAATAAATAATCCAAGCAAAAATAAGAAAACGCAACACCAATTTTTTACGTGGAAAAAATCACGAGGCAACTCCGACCAAAATCCACTATAATAAAAATATATAGATTACAATATTCAAGTTTATGCCCCAAAACTTGAATTCTCCACAAATTGGAATACCACAATAATTGATATCTAATGCAATAAATAATATCTCCACAAATCAACAATTTGATCAACTTTGCGAGAACTCACTTTGAATACTACACATATGAAGTACCCAAAATACGATTTAGAGAAAATCTCAATTTGTATTATGTAGAAAAGGAAAAATAACATGTGTGAATCCACACCCAAATTGAAAGAAAAAATTGTTCTCCTTCTTTTAATTCTTCTCCAATAGCTACAGTTTTATTTCTTCAATTGGAGCTGTCGTTTATGACTTTTCTAATGGCAGCCACCTTTTTTATGTTTTTTCTCTCACAACTTGGAAGTCACAGAATTCTCTCTCTCTCTCTCTCTCACGATATGTATCTAATTAAATAATATATTGGCTTGGATCAATCTTCATCATGGACTGGACCAAATTAGCCCATATAACAATTGGAATACCCAACCTTATCAATCCAAAATTTATGGGTCTCATTATATCTCCTTTGGTTCTCATCATTTCTTTTGCCGAGTTGTGAAATATTGCTAATATCTTCGAGGGCAAGGAAGGGAATGTATTTCTCCACCAAGGAAGTAAAAGTATATGCCATTTTTGGAGGACACAATTTTCAAATGCTTTTAAACGGTATGGAATTCATATGTAGTAATTATTATTCGTTCTTTTCAAGATTGACGCACACATCATTTATAGAATCAATTTTTTACCAAAAATAGTCTGTCCACAGAAGAAGTATTATATTTTGATATAAATATCACAAGCATATTGATTAAAACATGTTGTCTTCTAATTCATCAATTATTTGCCTTTTAATCCAATTATGAGCAAGCTGATCCACTCAATAAACAAAGTCGCACTAGGCGGCTCAGTGGATAAACAAAAATCTCCCTCAAACAGAAAAAAATTAATCTCATCCGTTGATCCACTCCTAATCCCTCCCGTTGGACCCACTTACGAAAACCCTAAAATCTCCCTCCTATACGTTCAGAATCTCTATATCTAGTATCTACAACCGTCGAATTCCGACTCCTCAGCCCTGCTCCTCCTCTTATCGCCGCCACTTTTTCTCTCTCTAGATTTTTCTCACCATGTCGGACGAGGAGCATCACTTCGAGTCGAAGGCCGATGCCGGCGCCTCCAAAACTTACCCTCAGCAGGCTGGTACCATCCGTAAGAATGGTTATATTGTTATCAAAGGCCGTCCTTGTAAGGTTTTCCTTTTCTTATCTGTGTAGTTATATGGCGTTCCTATATTAAAGTTACGTATTTAAGTATCTGTATCTAATTATTGGTTTGTATTCAGATCTCTGTGTTAGGTACAGTTGAGTTCTGCAACTGTAGTCAATTAAGATTGTGAAATTCGTGTTGATAATTATTTGGCGTTGGAATTCGATTTTGGAGTTCTCAGCCTACATTTATTTAGGAATTTGTATGTGCCAGCTGATTAGCTTCTTTTCTTTTCTATTCTTTCTTTTAAAAAAAATATTTAGAAAAATTGAATTCATCTAGTGATTTATTTTGGTTTTCTTTGATCTGGAGTAAATATGAATATATCATGAAAGTTACTTTCGTATAGTCGAAATATTTTCATAACTGCAGCATAATGAGTTCTCAGTACCTTTAGCTGATATTTGATTGTAATTTGTTTTCTGATCATTAGTCATCCAAGCAACTAGCTTTGTTTGTAACATTTTGACGTTGGGTATGATAGTGATTATCCTATTGGCTTGTTGTAGCAGATGATTCGCAAGAAAATATGACAGAAAATGCCCAAAAAATCAGAGAAAATACTCTGAATTCAACTCAATATTATTAATAATGTAGAATGATCAAAACTAACTCACAAGTCGAGTTAAATAGCTGCGAAATATGAAATTATGGAAATATTACCAAAAATGGCAAAATCCCAAAATTATACCAAAATAAAATATTAAGTAAAAGAAGTAAGTTGTCAAAAATTTGGCTCAATTCGAGTTTTCTAACATTTGGAAAAAAGGAAACGAAATATTATCATAAATAGTAAAAAATAACTTAAAATTGAATTTTGGAAAGGAAAACAGTGGATTTTGGGCTTGAAATTAACGTCCACCGAGCATAGCTGGGTGGCCACGACGTGCACGCCGAAGAGAGCTTTCCGGATTGGGGTCATAATAGCGATTCCGATAACCGTAGTCAAAGTTATGGTCAAATTACCAAAGACGCGTCAAATTCCCCCAATTAAGGAAATAATGGTGATTCACTTTCCATCTTTGCGCCGATCCGCCATCTCATGGTATCTCAGCGCCATCATCGTGCTATCTGACAAATCAACATCACTCGACTCGGATCCTCCTGCATCACATTTGGTCTGAAATATTTATGTGTAGAGGAGTCTATTCTGTTTATATTGTGTAGTTGTGGAAAATTAATATGATGGGATACTATGACCCTATTTTGTTTTAATAAAAATTAGATCTTTAGTACAAATAAAAGTTGATGAAACGTGATTGAAAAGTTAATAAAAGTTGCGTGTCCCATGAAATGTGTGGTTGAAAATGATTTGGGGGAAAAATGAATTTTAAGAAATGGGGATCAAACATGGGCTATATGATATTATTTGCCCTTTTTTCGAGTTACCCCTTAGATTCTAGAATAGCTTTTCTTGTAGGATGCTGATGTTGATTGAAAAACTGTTGTGGTTGATAACTCACTGTCATTCACATGACACCTAAGATTTTGTATGATTGTTGCAGGTTGTGGAAGTTTCAACTTCCAAGACCGGAAAGCACGGTCATGCTAAATGTCACTTTGTTGGAATTGACATCTTCACTGCAAAGAAGCTCGAAGATATTGTCCCCTCTTCCCACAACTGTGATGTATGCATGTTCTTTTAGTTATTCTTTTAAGTATATTTTGTCATGCATTTGCTGTTTTTCTTTTGCTGTTACGAGTCTTAAAGGATATCATTGAATTACAGGTACCTCATGTTAATCGCACTGACTACCAGCTTATCGACATCTCTGAGGATGGATTTGTAAGTTACTTTTTCTTGATTGTTTTGTCGATGTAGTTTACATTGTCTTACAAGCCTCTTGCAAAATATGGTGTAGGTGAGCTTGCTGACTGAGAATGGCAACACGAAGGATGACTTGAAGCTTCCAACTGATGAAAATCTTCTCTCCCAGGTTATGGTTATAGTGAGATTTCACTGTTTTCATTGATTCTCGAGTAATATTACTTGATTGATATTTGTTATTGCACAATACATTCTATAAATTTCTGATTTTCGATAAAATGTGCAGATCAAGGCTGGATTTGAAGAGGGGAAGGACCTTGTTGTGAGTGTTATGTCTGCCATGGGGGAGGAGCAGATCTGTGCTCTCAAGGATATTGGTCCCAAATAACTCTATATCACATGGATTGCCCGATGGTTTGAAATTCCAGATGCAATAAACTTCAAATTATTAGATTAGTAAAGGGTGGGAATACTATGGGGCCATCTTATTCAGGATCATCCATGTTCTTGACCATATTGAGATAATATTTTCTCATTGTCAAGATCATTTTAGTTAGAATCATGTCTTCCTTTTTTTTTTTTTTGAGGAAACAGGATTGAATCTTGTTTTGTTTATTGTGGTGTGGTTAAGTTTGGAATTGCCAGCATTTGTATAAAATTGTTGTATAATTTAACATCATGCTGTTTGGTCTATTTAAGTAGTCTGGAATTGGCAGCAAATTTATCTACTTGTTGCACGATTTAACACCATGGTGTTTGGTCTATCTATGTTTCCATGTAACTGCGCTTGTCATTTTGTATTTTTCGAACTTCTAAAAAACGTAAAGCGTTACTATGGAGGTCCAGATTTTAAGTTTTATGAGCCTAGAAGAGCTTAGGTGGGGTCTGGGCATAAAAAATGTTTTCTTATACGTAGCTCTCGTTTGGCCCCTATTATTGCCAAATTTTAATGGTTGAAATAGTTTTTTTTTTTTTTTTTGAAAAATGTGTGGTTGAAAAAGAATGAAAAATTTTTTATTTGCGTGTAATATTATTTTATGAAAGATTGTGTGGTTGAAAATGAGAGAGAAAAAGAATGAGAATGAGAATGGGGGTCAAATTGGTGCTAATATTAATTTAAAATTTTAATTATGATAAAAATTGTTCAATGATTAAAATAATACATAAACATATAAAATCATAAGATGCTATATTTAATTTATAATTCTTACAATTGATCAATTATAAAATTTTCATGTTTTCAACATGCACAAGTTTGACAATTCTTCTAACAGTAACATGTTTTTATTTTTGAAGTTTGTACAAATAGTCAATTAAAAATTTGAAATTAAAGTCAAATAAAAAAAAATTCAAAAACAAAGGAAAGAAAAATATTAATAAAACAAAACTAGGTGCGCCATCGCTTAATTTCTCGCTCACTGTAAAGGTGTGACGTTTCGCCCACATCTCGCGCATAGCATATGCTTTCGTGCATTTTTATAGAACATTGATATTTTTTATCAAGGGAAATACATGAGAGTTGAAAGTCTCATTTTGTGCAGATTTAATCCAGTGGTGGAGTTTTGCTGATATTCATTTCACAATTTTCCTGTAGTACGGGTTCTTGGAGATTTGCCAGTGTCATCACTTGTTCGAAAAGGTTGAGCATTTTAGCCTTCACAAAGATGGGTTTTAAAATCAAATTGTTCTTTTTCGACTTATTGGGATCGGAGTTAACACATCTACTTCCTGTCTAACAAAACATGATGTCTTCCAAAAGATTTAGAATAGAAAAACTAACATCATCTTGATCACATAAGGTGGTTTCCAAGCAATTTAAGTAGGATAATATTATATTTACATCACAATTTTTATTTGTTGCATCATATTTTAATTGTACTTAAGGTTTTTAATATTTGCTCATTATAACACTTATGTCTCTAACGATTTTTCATATCATTCTTATCCTCAAATTTTTCATTAGTTAAAACATTTTGTATTTGATAATAGTTTTAGGTCCAAAAGTCTGTTGAAATAATGTAAAACAACTTATTTTTTTATTATATTTTTAAAAATAAATAAATATGAAGTGACCCAAAAATTAAAACTTGGGACTTATTTTGATCAATTGAAAGAAAGGATAAAATCGTCATTTCATCATTTTTTTTTAATATAAATTAATTAAAAGAAAGAAAGGGATTCATCTTCTTCCCACGCCATCACCCTCAACCACAACCAACTAAATCCGCCTCCATTGCCATTGCCATTGCCATTGCCATTGCTTGCCATCACCACCACCACTACCCAAATCTCAAAACCCAAGCGAGCTTGGAATTTGTTTACAAACCCAGGTTCCTTAGCGGCACGTTTTCTGAAATATAAGTATCATTGTTCTGACTCTTTTCTTGAAGCTAGAATTCTGAATGAATCTTCTTTCTTATGGCATAGTGTCGTTTTGGGTAGAGAATATTACAGCAAGGCCTACGTTGTAGAATTGGAGATGGAGACGGTCAAAATTTTTAACGACCCTTACCTGTCGAGACCTGCTTCTGTCCGGTCAGTTTCTGTGCCAAGGGGAGAGGTAGAGCGGGAGAAAAATTTCATTTCATTAACGGGTGCCTTGGATGCAATTAAGATTGAGAGGAAATTTGCTTCAATTGATAATGAGCTAATTACGTCACTCTCGTTGGGTATGCCGTATGCGTATGCTAGAGACGAGGGATAAGATGATATGGCATTTTAAATCCAGAGGGGACTTATTCAGGTCACAGGTTATAATTTGCAATATGCTGTGCCAGAATTATTTTGAAACCTCAGCTGACATACACTCATAGTTGGGGGTGATTAGATTGCCATTTTTTACATTTTTTATTCACATGAAATCGGTGCGAATTCCATGTCAATGTGAGGATTGGTCCCCTAGGTGGGCAAAATATATCTGGTAATGACTTTATTCTAGATTTTGTTACGCTTCGCCTCCCACGTGGCAAACAAACCTGAAACCGAACTCCACGTCACTCTGTCTAACAAGCAGTTTGGCCCAAAATTCATGAAGAGGCCAAGCCTATATGGGATGCTGAATCCATTTAACTGAGTCGACCCCATATGAAGAACCGAACCCTCACGCAGGAGAGACTGTAAGGGGGCCAACGGGAAATCTTTTATAAGATTTCTAATATGTGATTAATATAACAATTCCCTGCTACCGTCGTCCTATCCAACTAATCAAGTCAAGTCTAAGTCATGTACCAGATTTACGTGCAACAAAATGAATATTAGCATCATGATTGACACCTTCGACAAAAAGCCTCAGCCACACGAACGAGGCCATGTGCACTTTCATCTTACGATCAACATTCACATTATTCTGCTATAAAAGCTCACACAATATACCAGAACAAAAATAATGCAAACTTAGACTTTCAAACTATAACCTTGCCATCCTTACTATATTATCATGGAATTCTCCAACGCCAACCCCCTTCAATATTGAAGGCTCACGTCTAAAGCACCTCCCACATCCATATATACTATTTCAACTGACTTAATAGTCGGACTGGGATCGACTCCACACCGTCGGAGAAAGCCACGTGTGGCTAATGATTTATCTAAATGTGTAAAACTCAGAGTTGTGTAGACGTGGAAGGCTTTGGGATCTATTGACCACGTTGGAGACACAAAATTCGAGGTCAACATATTTTAATTGCAGGAAAGTAGATCCTGAGGGAAAGTATTCAGATTGATTTGCACTTGATGAAGTGGACTAATTCTAATGTCACCATTGCTTTTGGAAAAAAAATGGACAGAAAAAAAAAATAGTAAAGCTGGAAACGATACAAAGGGGTATGACGTCTACAATTGTTAATCAGTAGGATACAACAGCAGGATTGACCTGACTCCAATAAATGCTTGAATTCACATGCACAAAAACTTGCATACTCCAAATCTATGTCGATATACTTCAAAAAAGGAGCAGTTGATTCTACTTGGCAAGCCGGATAACTGTTCCAAGCCAGTCGTCAGGTATGTTCTCTTTCAAATCTCCTCGTAGAGCCTTCAATGAGTGATCCGTAGCTGCCTGCATCCGCTTAACAATGAAGATACATATTTCCTTAAGAAACAAACTGATAGGTTGTTGTCTATTACCTTAACAATATAGACATCAATTGCATGTTTGGCAATCATTGCAGCTTCCGATATCTTTGTCACCATGCCACCAGTTGTGTCGTGTGCTGCTACTGTTATTTCAACTGTTCACAATAATTGTCACCGGTTATTGGTTAATAGTCTATGAACATGAAAGAAAGTAAAGCTTCATGAGTTCCTTTATCACCATCACACCTTGTGTGAACTATACAACAGCAATCTTGATTGTGAAGGTATACGTAAAGTCAACGAGCTAAATTTAGGATGGTAAATCATTCTCAAACGTGCTAAAGTGCCAATATCTTAATGGCAAAACATTACACAGGTATATAAATGCTAAGTAGGAGATGAACTCGTATTGTATGGTGCGAATAATGATAATACACTGACCTTGCCTGTTCATGTCCTGCAATTCTGGTTTTACTACAAACCAGCTACCGTCTTCACGCACAGCTGTGAATATGAATAATGAATTAAGCATCTTAGTTCAATATCGAATGAACCCAACATCAGAATATGTTTTACCTTGTGTGTGTTACACACTTCTATCTTTTGAGATACTTACCGATTTCCCTAAGAAGCACTGCATCAGGTTCTGTTGGTGGGCGGTCATATACCCCAAAAACATCTGTCTTCAGTTGGAGTTGTATAGGACGTGCACATAAAGCTATTTCACATGTATTCCCATGTGCAAAATACAATAAACTAGACGGTACAGACAGGTGTGATTGCATGGAACGTGATGGAAAATGGCATATAATTAGGTGTTTTCCCATTACTTTTACACTAGAAATAATCTGCTGGTGTGATCTTCTCTAGGCAACAAAAGAAGATAAATTATTCATTCAAGTTCAGTAACGGTCTCATGTCCCCATGAAAAAGATAAAAGTCAAAGAAGAATTAGGGGTAAGAATATCATTACATTAATAGAGGATACTAGGAAAACGACATAGTCAGGTTTCAGTTCAGCTACCAGATGACGTATGATTACATCCCCACTTAATATAGTGCAATCCTGGATCATAAGTTGACTGGATTCAGAACATATCGAGACCATGAAAATTTACTAGTTTAGAGATGCATAAACAGAAATCAAACCAGTGAAGTATCCAGTACAGCATCTCCATGCAGAACCTAGAATTTTGAGAAATGGGCATCAGTTCTAGTTTTCATGAGATGGAAAGAAAAAAAAACATGGATAAATAGTCGCAAAGCAAACAAAAACTTCTTAGCAACAAGAATATCATCCAAATGAATCAGAAACCTGATTCAAGATGAAATAAAAACCTGAAGCAACATTTGTCAGAATGACAGCTCGCTAACAGTAGTCAGTTAAAAGAATTGCTTCTACCATGCCATGAATGTGGTTCAGCATCAAAGTAAAATACTATTTGTTAGAATATAGTAGCGAGTAAATTTGAATTTTTGATTGAAAATATATATCTGTGTCTCAGTAAACAAAGCTATTGTAATCTCATTCAGACTTTGGCAGAATGAAGATTGATATCATGTTAACCTCGGGAATTTAGGGGTGTTTCAATTTATCCTCCAATGAGGAAAACTTTAAAATTGTAAAAAGATTCACTTCTGGTAACTTGAAGATTAACATAGAAGAATGCCCAAAAACAAGAATATAAAGTGGTGAAAGATATTATAATTCACATTGTTCCTTCAATTATGATAATTGTGGTCTAGATTGGAGAGTCATAATGAGGGAAAAAAGAGTAAGTTTTGAAGCCTTAACAGAAATAATATAAAGATCAATTCAATGGGTGTAATCTCGTATTTCATTGTTCACTTGAGGAAGTTCAAACTTACAGGTACAAATCCATTGTCGATAGCTTTAGCCACTGTACTTAAATCAGCCACAGCTATCTGTAAAGGAGCACAACTAAACTTTCTTAGGTCTAGCCATTAAAAGCTATCCAAAAGGTGACTAAACAGACATATAGCATGAAAAGAATATTGCAACAAATTGATAGGTAAAGCTTTCAGTACTCCTCCTAACATTTCTTTCACGTGTTGACCAGCCACATGAAAATGGAGACATTCCAATAGAAGGAATACCCTCTGTAGGAAGACACAAATAAATTGTCAAAAGGAAATGTACATAGTAAAAAGAGATAAAAAGAGTTGCAATAAGTTGTGCAGGATAAAAATTAAATAAATAAATAAATAAGGAGGTGTTTGAGCCACATTATTTTTTATTTCATTGTTCACTGTTTAAAAATACATTTTTTTAGAATAACGTGGCTCAAACAGGCCCTAAAAATAAAAATCTTAACAATGTAAGAATTAAATTAGAAAGCATAAAAGAACGTGATTTGTCATTAAGAAATTCAGTTATAACTTTGGCGAGGTGAATGCAGTCATGAATAACATAGAAATTCAACAAAATAATTTTGGATTATAGATAAGTTGACCAACATTACAAGTCAAAAGCTTAACAAATTTAGTTCAAAGGTTTATGGTTGATTTTAATGCCAAAATATATTGCAGGAGCCAATGGAATACAGAAATTATCGATTTGGCACGAGTATAAACAATTTATGGCCTTGGGCAGTTACAATGGTGGATAATCTTGAGGTAAAACATGTTGGCAGAAAAATATTAAAATGAAGTGAACAATGAATGCAAGAAGAAAAAAGAAAACGAAAGGGGGGTTGGGTTTGGGGGGGGTATAAAAATTTGAAAATCTGTCAAAGGAGTCCTAAACCCTGGCTAATCCTTGTTTGCATATGATTCAGATGAAGCATAATCAGAAAATCTGTATATAATAAACAGGACCCTTAAACTAAAGAAACTATATATATTGTGCTAACAATATCTAAAAAATGGATAGTTGAATTCCATCAATACCTTTTGCTAGGGCTCTGACAATTTCAAGATTAAGAGATGTGACCTATAACAATTAGAATGAATACAGAATGAGAATAAACATAACCAGAAAGGACTCATTAGAAGATGAGTAATTTTTGAATGTCCTGAAATGTAACAGCCAAACATAGTAATAAGTATCTACAAAAAGAATAACAAAATCATTCAACTTTCAAGAAAATTGGTAAGCATTTAAATATGTAAAATCTATGCTCTTGTTTGAGCCCCATTTTTTCATCAAAATACATTCTTCAACAACGATTTGACATTATTTGAACCACAAATTTTTCAATATAATAATATTACACGCAAATCCAAAAC